TCAGCTGTACAATTAAGTAGTTCTGTAAATATAGGGGCAAGTTGTCCTCTTGGTCATTGCATACACTATACCACTAAATTAATGCCTGCTGATGGTGTGATTGCTATCCTATAGCAGGACTAAATATATTTGAAGAGGGACAAACAGACTTGTATGACCTGTAAATGTATGAAGAGGCTGCTGCAATCAGTGCTGGCAACTGATTACATCTGTCTGTATTAAGGAAAATGATAAAAAGCCAAAAGAAGACAGGATCTTAAAACCAAAAGTGTATAGAGCAACCCTACTAAAATAGAAAGTTTCTTAAAATGGGACTCTCTTCATCAGTAATCTACTGTAAGTCTTGTGCTAGACATATTTATTATAAAACTTAATCTTCATTTAAACACTACAGTTATACATTAAAATCAGTGGTTGAGACTTCTGAGATTTCAGAAAACATTAATTCTTTGGCTCATAACGCTGTACTGGCAACCTTTTTGCCTGCCACTTATGGCATTCCAGTCTATTTTCTGTGAGAAACTGTCTCTGTATGTATATGCAGTGGATCTCACATGTTCTCTGAAGGATAAGAAATAAAATCATGGCCTTCATCTCTATTAGAATGATACCAATTAGAAATAATTAATTTGAAGTGGTTTTGGATGTTAGAGGAGGTTGGAATTCATACACGGTGTGTGTGTACAATGTACAACTTCTGGAGGTTCTATATCTATGGGTGCTTGGTAAGCAAAAAAAAAAAAGTTAGGGATGGCATAATCATTTCAAAATAAAGCATAAATTTAACTTGACTGAAAAGTTTTTCAGCTGTGGTAGAGCCAACCATCTTTCAAAAATGACTGATAGTCCATTTTAATTTGTAAAGGTTAAGGATTTCAGGTTCACTGAAACTTCTCTCAGTATTAGGAAATTATTTCTAAGAAAGAATCCTCATTGTTCATAACTGTATCCTCTTCTTTTTTTTTTAATTTTGTGCTTTTAAACTTTGGTTTTTTTTGACACTAAGTTCCACATTATAAGGCATTTTGTAATACAAATAGTAATATGAAGCCTTTGATTCTTCTTTTGAAACATTGGTTAGTAACCAGCATCAGGGGTCATTATTAGGTCTGTCAAATTACTGGTAGAAGGACAGAACTGATGCTAAATGAAGGAAAAAAAAAAAAAAACAACAAACAAACAGAAAAATAACACCCAAAACAAAACCCCTCAAAAAACACCTTGTGGTCTGTTAGGTAAAATATCCCCGTGTCACAATGCAGTGACCTGGAAGCATGTATGGCTATACCTGACCTTTGTGAGAGGCAATTAGAAACTACTCAGTTGCATGCTCCAGCTGGTGATTAATGAATATTCTTTTAATAAGTTATACAGTAGACTGCTTCTGTGGCATAAGGATTATTATCTGCACATCAATGGCTTAATTCAAGGGAGAGAGGTAATGTTTGTTTTTCTCAGTCTGGGTAAATTGTGCTCAGAAGGCTTGGATACAGCTTCCTTCCCCAAACTCTGAGAATATTTGTGTAAATGCTAGTCACGGAGTCTGAGAAATGGAACAGTGACCACATCTGTCTAGTGAATGGCTCAGTCCTTTGGTCTGTCCTGTTTCAAAATTAGCATCTCTTGGGACATGGTTGGCTTTTTGGAGGCATAAACTGTCTGAACAGCTTAGATGTATTTTAGCTCCCCTTCTGGATTAGCATTTCATCCCACAGCAGATCAAACACATTTTGTGTCTTTTAATAAAACTACTTTTTATTTGTGAAACTTTGGCTGCTCTGAACTGAGATATAGCAAATAGAATGGACAGTGTGTTAATGAACAAGTAAATGTTTCTTTGAAAGCTGAACTCCTTAAAGTGAAGAAAAGTCAGTAGGTCAGTCATGAAAAAAGGGAAAATGGTGATTTGGATGGGAGTGCAGTACAATTTCAGTGTGGATTGATTCTTGGCTGTGCTACAGATTTCCTGTGTAACTGGGAACCGTGTAATTGTCTACATCCCATTTTCCCTGTTTCTGCTGATCTTGCTGAAAAAACCAAATGCATTAATTTCTTTAAGGACCTTTGTCAGTGCACAGTGCCAGGTGTTACAAGATTGTACTGTATTTGGCATTCATAGCAGATGATGCCAGGAGTTGAGTCTTTTAAGTCTCCAAAGGGAAAAGAGAAGGACTTGTGGGAAATCAAGCACGAGTGATAACCATCTTCCACCTTTCAAGCAAACAAAAACTCCACTTTGTTTTTAGTGGACAGAATATTCATGTGAAGAGCAAGGGTCATGTATGTCACTTTGAAACTGAACACAGACACAAGTCTGAATCCTGAACATCTCAGATGAATATTTTATCGACTAAGCTGTTATTGTGAAGAGTGTGAGGGGGCTTCAACCAGAAACAGAATCTTTATCCAGCAAAGCTTTCATCTCAATTGATGAAAGTCATGTTAAAATTTCAGTGAACTGGCGGTAAAAAACAAACAAACCAAAACAAACAAAAACCCAACCAAAGCAAAAAAAAACCATACAACAAAAAACCTGAAAAATGCCCAGCTATTTGCAATCAAGATTTCCATTGCCATTGCTATTTAATGGGAAATATGAAAAACAAAAACAAAAACAAAAAAACAACAAAACCCTACAGGGGCTTACTTAGTATGATAAATAACATATTTCACTTTTTCTTAAATGATACATGTTTCTTGTAATGACTTGAACTTCATGATTTATATTTCTTGAACTGTATGTGATGATGCTGACCCTTCAGACCAGGGAAAATAACCTTTCTTTCAACTCTGTGATGTACTGGAATGATGCATGAAGGGTTTTGATAGGAGGAACCACACTAACCTTAATGTAGCTTTTGCAAGAAAATGCAGTTCTTTGTGACCTAAGTATAAACTTGAGCATGCAGTGTCCGGACATGATGCAGTGAACAAGCTTGAACAGGAATTTATATTACGGTAGCCTGATTTCCTACTTTTGATCTGTGTTTGCACACTGTTTTTATTGATATAGAGAGGAGCCCAATGAACATTATCATGGCTTCTTGTCCAAGAAATATTTCAAAACCACATTTGCCATCATCAGCTGTGTGGCTTGTTGCCATTCTGTTCTAAACAGTATAGAACAGTTGTTGGCTGTTCTGAAGAGATTTGAGAAAGAAGTCATGTTGCCAATGAATAGATGTCATCACAACAGTACCCATGCTTTTCCTGCGACATCTGGAGCACATGATGCATTTCTTGATGCATCTGTTCAGAGAGACAGTGTTATTTTATAGTATGCATGTTAGAAGGGCTTCTTGAGTCATCATACCTGGCAATTTATCACATGGGCGTGTGAGGTGGTAGTGGCAAAGTCCACCTAGTGATTGGACACCCAGGGGTGGCAAGCATCTGCTGATCCCAGGGAGTTGATAATTGCCTACGCTGAATAAAAACACCCTGGTATAAATGATGGTGGAAATGAGAGAGTTCTGGATTCAGTGTCGTATCAGTGTTCTTAACTCTGACAATGTTTTCCTGGATGAGTTTTAATTGCCATGTCAGCATATATGCCTCTCTGTCTCCACCTGTAGGAAGAAAGACTTGTAAAGACTTGCTAATTTTATTAATGTATTTGTTAATTCTTTGATGTGCTCAGATTTTCAGGACATACTCTAGAGAACTGCTCAGCATTTTTGCTGCAGAGTAAAATAGGAATGTGTCATCACTGGAAACAGAAACCCAGTGCTCACCTCAAAAGAGCTTCAATGCAGGCAGTTGCTGTACAGGCTTTTCCTGTGCTGTTTCTTTCAAGACTGAAACCATCTTGAAAGAACCACTCACCATATAAACAGTGTCTTTCATTTTCCTTATCCACTTAGCCATGAATATCTGGCATTTCCACATGATTTTTGTAACACTAGTGTTTGGTACTTCTTGTTAAAATGTTTTCCAACAAAGGCAGTGGTCCATAATGTTTGCTTAAGTCTCTTATTGCAAACGCTTGTCCCCCTGACATGGCATCCACTAAAAGTCTTTGCTCTCTAGAAACAGCTTGCCTGATGGATCAGTTCTCCCAGGATTTGCAAAAAGGCTTTTGGGATCAGCCGAGCCGTGCACACAATTTTTTGCTTTATTTTCTTTCATTTTGATTGGTTCAGATGGTCCAAATATTTGCAGAACTCCATTAAGTCCTATTTGGGATGAAGTCATAAGTTCCACTTTCCACCAAGTCATGGAGCCTGTCCAAATTAGTGTCAAAGCCTATATAATACCTTGGCTATATTGCAGGCTTGTATAGTATCAAGATCCTGTTTTCACAGCAGTTACATAGTTGTTACTCCAGTGAAGAATGATATGGCCCCTTATAAAGTCCACAAGCTGACGCCTGTTTTTTAATGTAATATTTACACTATTCAAGGAGCTAAAAGAAGGCTTTGCTTTAATAGATTCCTTCAGCTAATGTTTTCCCTTATACAGATGGGTTATTGTTTCCAGCTTTTGATACCTACATGGCTTTATATATTAGAGCCTCAATTTTTTTCCTTTGGTTGGGGTTTTTTCCTTCTCTGTGTCTCCTGCAGCCAGGGAAGGGTTTTTCCATTATAACCATTCAGCTTTGCAGTTTTCTCTGAGTTTTTATTTGAGGGTCGAGCCCCTGAATATATTAAAACCAAAACACAAAAACCCCAGCACCTTGTTGTTACACCCCACCCCCTGAATTGCTTTCTATTTTTGACTCATCTTTCCCGCTCTGAGAAAAGCCTAGTACAACAATTTCTTAGCAAGGGCAAAACTCACGTTATTAAGCCAGTTAGTGTGGGCTATTGGTTTGGTTTTGTTTGTTTGTGGGTTTTTTTGTGGGTTCTTTGTTTGTTTGTTTGTTTGGGGTTTTTTATTTTGTTTTGTTTTGTTTTTTTCCCACAACTGCTCTGATGCTACATGTGTGAACTTGACTCTCTTTCTAAAATGTTGCCCAGGTGACTGCTATAAATAACATTTTGTCACCTAAGGACTTCATGGGGCTGAATAAAAATCTGTATTCCCATCCTGAGTATAAGGAGTATTTCTGGGACTTCATATTGGAAATAGAGTGCCAGGTTGTAAGTACATAATTGTTTATTCTAGTGAAGTAAAACACACATTGATAGCCCTAGAATTCTGGTGTGAGCAGGGGGTGTAGAAGACCACTGAGATTGAATCGACTTTTCTGCTTAATATGCTTTCAGACCAAAACAACTTCAGAAAGTGAGGCATTGAATTGTGGAATATCTGCTAAAACTTTTTTAACCTCAGCAATCTACAGCGCATCTTCAGTCTGGGCTTTAATTCAGGAAAAAAATCTTAGGCTTGCTGTGTTCCACTGAAACAAATTTTCTCCCAGTTTTAATTAAATCCAAACCATAAGACTTGCAGACTCAGAATTCAGACCAGTTTGCAGTGGATGAAAAATGGTCAAAAGTGGGATATACCAAGGACCATGCCTTAATTCACAAGCTAACTGCATATACAGATATGCTTTGGGAGATCCGAGTCTTCTTGTCCTTTGTTATGATTATGAGATTTCTAGTGGTTTGGTTTCAGGTAGGAAATTAGTCACAATTCTGATTTTTTTTAATTGTATCTATCCTGATGCTTTTCAGCCAGCATATCTAACATAGACATCTAGAAATGTTAGTTGTACCATTCCAGCATTTATACATTTTTCCTCCTAGCAAATTTTAAAGAGAAAAAGTATTGTAGCTTATTTTGGGATACAAAGGATGAATTCAGGCATTCTTTAATTTATGTGTGTTTGTTTCTTTACTTGGAATTCAGAATGGAGGCAGAAGTATAGAGAATACATGTATTCCATATTCTGACAATGTTCTTCTCACGTGTACTCTGCAAACAATTATAGCTGTCACTAGGACTTCTATAATTGTCTACAGAGAAAAATTTCAGAAGGGCACATGAGCGCTCCCTGCCCTTCAGATCAGTGGCTCATCCTGGTTCCCTGAGGAATGACCTTACTTCACTACTTTTAGATTAGCTCCCCATCTCTATTGTTCTCTTTGAGAGTGATAAGATTATCATATAAAAATCATGCTGTATTTATCTGTTGTATGTTTTTATTTATTTTCCCATCGTCAAGGTCATATATTGATTTTTGCATGGGAGGTTAAGGTTTGCCAAGTGTGAAACAATTGTCGGGGTTATGGTTGCCACTACATATTATTCTGCACTGAAAGGAGCAGCAAAAGGCAGTCTACCAATAACGTAGTGTGGCAATTCTAACTGGCTGTTGGCCAGGGGTTGTCAGGTGGCAGCGTGTTTTCTGAATGTGGTTTAATAGCAGATAGAGTTATTTCTCATCTCTAAACCAAACAGTGCTCCAATAGCTGAGGTGCTCTGATAGACCTACACTTTTAATATTGTTATGCATATCTTCCAGAGTAGCTTTTCTAGCATTCATGCACAGACAGCATTGGTGAAATCCATACAGCCTTCATACATCTTTGGACACCTTTAAGATGAGTTACGTAGTTCAGTCTCTTATCATATGCTAGGAGACTTAATTATTTGTTGTTTATAATGGGAGATTAGAATCCTAGAAATCAATCCTTGTGTTATACACCTATCTAGAAATAAATAGACTTAGTAGAAACAAATCTCATTTCCATAGAGCAGTAAAGGAACAAGAAAGAATTGGTTCCTGTGTTGGCATAGGCCTTCTTTTAGAAGGTTGATCGGGATTAGTCTAGTGAAGAGGATTTGAAGTGGATTATTTGTGAAGTAGGGAGGGAAGGATTAATGCTGACTCTACTGTGACTGAGGGAATGCTGGTTTTTTCCTTGGGATGTTCTGACATATTCCTTAACTTTATAGGGTAGGAGAGAATAGAATAGACCACTTCAGTTGGAAGACACCTACAACATTCGTCTAGTCCAACTGCCTCACCAATTCAGGGCTGACCAAGTTAAAGAATGTTGTTAAGGATATTGTCCAAATGCCTTTTAATTATCAACAGGCATCAAGCACCTCTCTAGGGTGCCTGTTCAATGTTTGACCACACACTTGGTAAAGAAACGCTTCCTAATGTCCAGTCTGGATCTGTTTTTGTTTATCACATCAAAACAATGCAGTCTTTTGGCTTCTTTTCAGGTTCCATGACTTGGTTTTTTTTCTCTGTAGCAGATGTGAAACCCCTTTGTTGGTGGATTCCAGCATCACCCTAGCAGTAAAGAGGCCAAATAATTTATAAGATCTGTCAGTATAAAGCTAAAAAATATAAACCTGCTATCTGTAAATGGGCTATCCTTCTACTGGGAAACATAATGTGTTTAAGAGACTGAGGTTTGTTGCTTAGATGCCAAAGATAACTGTGTCTCCATCAAACTTTATTGTCCTCTTAGCTGAAGAGGATTCTTTTTATCTGATACACCATGGTGACAGTGCTAACTTTACACTTTCAGAAATGTTGTAATAAATGCCACACATCTATGTGCATTATACAAGAATATGGGGGAGTTAACACAGTAAAGAGCAGAACAGTGAAGAATCCCAGGGGGTTCTGGAGTGGCATTTCATCCTGTACAGGCTACTTGTGTAACCTTGCTTAACTTTCTTTTCAGGAACAAGAAGACCCTAATAAGCTTGCTACCAGCTGGCCAGACTACTACATTGACCGCATCAATTCCATGGCAGCAGTAAGTTACCTCTCCTGCAAAGCAGGGAAGATTTCCTACCATAGAGATATGTTTCTTTAGGAAAAAATCCCAAGAGGAGAAGAATTTTGTTCCAAATGCATAACTGATTTAAAGTAGGACTTAAGATGAGTATTTGGATTAAGAAAGAACTCTGCTCTAGCAGAACAGTAAATTATAAAGCACCATAAATATTTCCGGTTTTTGTTTCTCCCATACTGAGCTCTGAAGGCAATCAAATTAGAGTCTGGAAGGAAAATTCAAGAGATTATTTGATGAATCAGAAAAGCAACTATTTGAAAACTAGGTAAAGTTTTGTTGTATGGTTTTGAATTGATTTGTAACTAATCTATGAAATAACACTTGGGCTATTAGTTTAGTAGAAGGATTCAAGAAAAGGTAGTTGTTTATCTAAAATGATATCCACAAGGATAAAATAATATACCAACAAGGTATTTGAGGTAAATTTTTTTTAATTGTCCTTGTTCAATAGCTGTATAGAATGTCTCTTTCTGTGAAGCATCCAGTAGAATCAGAACACCTGCATATACCATTATCCTTTGATATGGTAGATTTTGCGTTTTTAAGTTTGATCTTTTTACTGATTTTTATAGCCAAATTTTGCCTCCAGTTACTCATGCACAGGGTCTACTCAGCTTTAGTTGTCGGTTGTGCAGAAATGATGATGGGATTCTGTTCCTGGCGTCTTAGATAACACATCTTGCTTGTTAACGTATGCTTTTATTTTTGATTTCTAAAGGTTTCTTTGCACCTTTTGCATTGAGGTTATGAGCTCTAAAATAATTCAGTAAAAATAATATCTTAATGGGTTCTGAATGTGTCAATAGTGGTGCATTTTTCTTGGTGAAATATGTCTTGCTGAGTAAAACAACTTGAGATTTACAAGTTATAATCACTCACTGTAAGAGGATAAAAGAAATATTGCTTTCTACTGAGAGTCATGAATAAACAAAACTATCACCTTACCTTCATGCCATATTTTCATGAGACAGAGTAATGGAATACAACATGGACTTGTTTTGAGAAAAGACATTGAGCTTTAGTGACTGGCATGACACTGTGCTTTGATTTCCTGACTGAACAAATTTACTCTACAAGGACCATTAAGGCCAAAAAGTTAGTATGAAACCTTGCAATATCGCTGAGCCAAATAATTCTGGTAGGACTTGATCCAAGGCCTCTTGAATCTACTGAAGTTTTTTCATTGATTTCAGTGACTTTTGGATTAGTCTTTAAATGATCTTGATGTAAACCTGGAGTGAATATGTATACACCACTGTTGTAAATCTGGAGCAGTTCCATGGAGTGAGTCTATATTTTGGCCTATGTTTCTAATTTTAAACATGTTTTAAGAGCACCGATAAACACCAGCCCTGGTAATGTTGTTTGTGTGCCTGAATGCCAATGCTGAATTATTGATAAGCTTTTATTTGGCTTCAAGACTCACATTTCACTCTTATGCTTGAAGTCTTGAGAAGATGCACTGGGGTTATAACCCCTGCTTCTGATTTACTACTTAGTTGCTTCACTTTTAGGCAGGTGAAACTCAGTTGATTTTCACAGAAATTGTATCAGCGGAAAACTGGAGTAATACAGCTGAGAACGAGTTCCAGCACACTTTAAAAGGCATGTTCTATTCATTATTATTTAGACCTCTGAGATTTTTAACTTTCAAACAGTTATTTTTGGGTCCCATATAATTTCAGTTCTAAATTTAGTAGTAGGTTTTCTTGAACTTATTATTTTTAAACTACATCCAAGTGGAGTTGACTTTGAAGTGGTGAAAGAAAATTATGTTTCATGTTGCTTCCTGACACTCTCCAGTCTATTTCAGTTTGTATCTCTTGGGCACTATCAGGTATTGCAATATTTTAATTAGAAATATTACAAGAAGTATTATAGTTGAAATGGTAGTAATAATCACAGAAGTGTTAGTTTCAAATGTCTTAAATCCTGCCTTTAATAAAATTGGACTTTCATCTCCTGTGAATTCATTGCATAAGAATCTTTTTATATGTGGCTTTCACATCTTTTTCTTTATCCTTTTGTTTAGTTATGAAGTTCTTTTTTTATATGTTAGCTTGGCAAAAATGTTCTTCCTACTCACTGATAGAGTGGAAATGGCACCTTTATCCTGCTGATATCATTAGGGATCTTTCTGTGGATTTCAGCAGGCCAAGCCTCCTGTGCTCAAGAATCATTTTCTCAGAAGACCCTCTGCAGTGTTACCGTATCTGCCCCTCATAGATTATGTTTGAGAGCAGTGTGGTGATTCCTGACATGTTTGATGTTCCCTACTTGTAACCTTAGACCACTATGTTAAGGAAGCACTTTAGGTCACAGAGTCCTGATCCAGTTCAAAAAGCCAGGCATTTTAGACACAATTCTGTTCCCACAATTGTTTCTGTTGCTATGACTTTTCAGATTTTAATAGTTTTAAAACCCAATTCTCACAGGAGAGTATGACAGCAAAACTGTATCTTATTATTAGTCCATAGTGTGAAATTCCTGTGGAGGCACTGTCCCATCCTTCTGACTGAAAGGAAGGGGCTGAGTAGCACATTGGTAGATTGTCTTCTAGACCAGTCCTTAAGAGAAAGGGGCAGCTGCTACTGATGTCTAATTTTGAAAGGGGACCCTCCAAATTTGTCTAGTCCTCCGATTTCAACATTCTGTGAATAGTACTGGTGATGAGCACAGGTTGCATACCCACAATCAAGACCATTTCCATTATCAATGTCATAGTCGTCTTCTGCTGATTCATGAACACACAAAACTTTTTTTCTTGAAAATAGAGCAGTTGCCCTGTTAGTATCCTCCCTGTGTTCCTCCTGCCCTTCTCACCCCATGTAACTGTCTGCTTGGCAGCGCAAATAAACACAGCTCTCACTTTACTGGGGAGGAAAAGTTCTGACAGCACTGTGTTGCTTTTATGATCTTGGCTGTGTATGCATTTCCACAGAGAGACTTTCAGGTGAACAGTAGTTGAAGATCCGGCTTTTCTGGAGAGATGGCTCGGTTGAGAATGTGAGACAGGGGTCAAGATTAATAAATACAGCTGAAACCAGGCCCTTTTCCTTGACTCAGAAAGCATTTGTTCAAAGCAGAGCAGCTTCACAGGAGGTTAAAAGTATTAATCTTTCAGCAGAATTCAGCAGGTGGATGATAACACTCTCTTCTATCCAAGTTAGATGACATCTATGTTACTTTAAACTTACTTGCTTAAAAGGTTTTTTTAAATTACATCTATATATAGTTTATTATTTATAGATATTCTCTTAGTTCAGCCTTTATGTAGTTAGAGATGTGCTGCACCTTGAATTTCAATTTACTATGAGAAATCAAAACATCCAGGTTGCTTTTCACTATATATTTTATTTGTTTCTTACCTTTTTCATTTCACATGTCTGAGACTATTAAGGAGAATTAGGTCTGTCATACAGTGTATTGTTGATGCTAGTTTATGCCTTTTTTTTTTCTTCTTTCTTTTTTCTCTTTCTCCAACATATTGTCATTACAGTCCTTGTATTTTCCTTTCCAGCAGTTTTGGGGAATGATTAGCAATTACAATAAGGTGTGGAAATGAATATGTACTTTAAAAAAAAAATTGTTTCATTTTAAGTGAAGCCAAAATTTCAAAATAATTACTTACACTACGTGAGGTTTTAAACCTAAAATTCCACATGAATTCTTGTTTTCACAAATTCTTGCATTTTTTTAATTGGCAAATCAAGTAACTAGATGCTATAGTTTCCCAGATGATACACTTAATCTGGAAAACTTTAAACATACAAAATATGCTGGGGAAAAAAAAAAAAAAGCCTTACGTATACCACTTTTTAGGGACCAGATAAGGATCTGGCACTATTTTGCTTCCCGTTCCCAATATGTTTGGTTAACTGATGGTAACTAGCTTCATCCTGAGCCCAGAAGACATTAATCCTTGAGTGCAGTTTGTACTTGAAGAAAGCAATTCATCAGTCAGCCACATTAATGAAATACAACATCAAACAGTGACAGTTCCCTCCCCTCTGTCTCCCAGGAACAGTTACGTTTTCTGTAACTCTCTCCACGAAAGCTGTTTCACAATGCAAATGCATGACCAGTCTGTCTTTAGAGAGGGCATGAGGATTTGAGTTCCTGGCCCTACACAGGAGTGAGAAATGAAGGGCTCTTGGCTGCCTGCAGCTTTAGAAAAGGGGTTTTCCATAATCACCCTCTGTTGTAAAGGCAGGATTATTTGTATTTGTTTCATTTGGAAATGGGCCTTTTTCACTCTGAATGAAATACTGTTGAGCACCCTCCTACTATCCATTTACTTTTCCCCCACTATGGCTCAGAGGAGAAATTAAGCCATTGGAGGAATGGGAGCTTTTCAAAGGAGCATTTATGGGCCAAAGGAAAGATGACCAGATGGGCTGTCACCCAAGAAAATACAAATCAAGCCCCAGATCACACCCGAGGACTCTGCCATTGAGTTTCCATAAGGCCTGTTCAGGATTTGTTTATTTTTCAAAGAGGGGGATCATATATGGCTTGGCTTAAGCATTTCAATTTATGTTTCTGGCTGTTGGTGGATGCTGGCAAAAGATAAAACATCATCAGCTCATTTTCCATCAGTAGCGCTCTGTCATACCATTAGGGCAGGAAATAGCTTGCTCTGTTACTGAGTGAATTTGACTTTAGCGTGGATCAGAGAGAGGACCCCTAGAGTTAAACACATCTCCCTATGCCAGCTGTTCAGCATAAGACAGCAAGGGCATGTAGCCAAATGACCACCCTCAGGATCTGACATGTGTTGGCATCACATGACTTGCAAAAGCAAGCAAAGTGGGAGCATTTCCAAGAGAAGTGAGGTGTTGGGCTGGTGACGGGGGCAGGGAAGGTTAAAGGAAGTTCCAGGAAGAGGAAGGTTTTCTTTGGTGCTTGCTAAACAATAAAATAAAGACTGAAATATTTTGCTGTAATGAGCCATAATTGTAGCTACTCAGATTCCACCACAGAGAGGTATAATATTAGATCCCTGATAAATGATACTAGTTTAATTAGGTTATTCATTTGAGAAGGGATTCAGAGCTGCTTTCCAGATACCACTGAGTGATATCCACAAGACGTCCTGCCAAAAAGAGTAATTTATCCTCTCATTTTACAGTTTAGGTGACTAAAAAGATATAGCTATAGGCTAAGAATTTCGAGCATTAAGTCTTGACTTTTTAAAAAGTCACACATGGGACTTGTGAGTCTGAATGATATATGTAAAGGGTGCTGAAGAGTTTTGCTTCACTCGACAAGGTTGTAGTGGTGCTGAGTGTAGATTTGGAACCCTAATTTTTTGATATACCACTTTTTGTAACAGCTTTGTCTGACTTGGAGAACAATATTTTTTTGTGTGTGTATTCCACTCATTGTCTCCCACCTTAATTTACAGTGACCCACAGCAACTTCAGTTCCAGCTGACAGCAAGTTCTAGTTATCTCAAGATGCATACTGGGGGAAAATCTAGTCTTCATGTGCTTCAGTTAACTTGTTAAAAAACAGGCTCAGGGGTTTTATGATGTTCCACTTTTTGAAGCAAATGTTCCTCATTATCAAGGGCAAAGTCTATAGGGAACATCGCTTCTTAAAACAGGTGATATATTTGGCATGTGGAAGAAAAGCCAAACTAATATGTACACAAAATGTAATTCAAGGTACTTGCAGGCTGTGTAGTCTCTTGGCGAAAAAGATTTTATGCTTTGAAACCTGACACATAAGCGTGTTTTGTTGTGGGTTTTTTTTCCTTTTTTCTTCCCCAAATCCCTGCAGTCATGTCAGTCTATTAAAAGACATTGCCTCTCCCTGCAAACTTTTCTTCGCACATCCATAGATCACCACAGCAGATTGCTGTTCCAAATTAGGTACGGTTTTCTGCGGGCATACTGGCAACTGTGATTTTTTTGGGGTAATCTGAGAACCCTAGTTTAGCCAGTGTGGCAAAGTGGTATACACTGCTGCCAGTCCACAGGAACAGGCACATCTGGATTCAGTTTTGTAGCTGAGCTGTTGCTTTCCTGGTGAGAGGTCGGCAGACACCTCTGTGTTAATGGGAGAGTTCTTTTTCGTAATTCCTGGCTTACCTCTTACCTTTCAGGCAGCTCAAGCTTTCCTAATTGTCATCTTATTTTCTGAACAGATGCAGACTTTGTATGCTTTCGACGAAGAAGAAACAGAAATGAAAAATAAAATAGTTGAAGACTTGAAGACAGCTCTGCGGACTCAGCCCATGAGGTAATGTTGTTCGTCTTTCGTCGCAATTCACTGCCTCCCTACGGTCCTATGTGACACGAGTAAGAGTGGTAAGGACAGAAACCTCGTTGTCTTACCTCACACGGGCCTCTCTGATATTTTGGACAATCCTCAGAGAGCCCTACAGTCCCTGGTCTGAGGCTGCGGAGTTGGGAGGGCACACCAGTGCTGAAGCATATAGCTTCAGGAAAATAAAAGACAAAGTCTACTGTGAACAATCTGTGACAGATATTCACAAACACTGGTAATGACTATGAAGATCAGATTTTAGTCTTCACAGCCCTCTGAACATCTCATGTAATTTGATTCATGTTGGGCAAAATCTCAGCCTCTACTCTGAACTTTGCGTTTAAGCTTCCTCTTATCTTTAGTAATGTGAACTGTTGGGTTCAAAGCAGCTAATCCATCTGACATCACCTGGTTTGGCATTATTCCTGTTTTATGTGTAACTGTGGCATAGAAAAATGTTAAGAGACTTTATTGTGTACTTGTCTTTGAAGGTAAAGTCATCTTTCTTCTTCTGGGAACAAAACTCTGAACAATAGAAAACTAACTAGCACAGAAACCTTTTTAATTTAACACTTAGAAGAGCATTGTGCAGAAGCAGTAACTGTAGTTGATACGATCTCAGGAAGCACTACATCAAAAAATTTCTGAATCTCTTTTATACTGGCCAAATACTTTTGCATCCACCCTATGCTGAAGTTACAGTTTCAGAGAGCTTTGATAATGCCTAACAAAACAGGGTTCTTTTTGGGAGAAACCCTAACCAAACCAAACCAGTGAAATAAATAAATTAATAAAAACATTAATTAATAGAAAGTTATCTCAAAGAATTTGCATTGCTGTTACTCGGGTACAAAGTGAAGATATTCCTGGGAATTCTTGCAGAGCTAAGTGCTGATTGTGCTTCTTCCTTTCACGATGTTTAAAAAATTGACTGCATGCAGCTTCTCACCTCATAGCACATGTGAGGTACAACACATTAGCTTAAACCTAAATTTTTTACCTCCTGTTTACTTCCTCTTGTGATGGGCTGTAAGAGAGCACAAAATCAGCTTCTGATGCTCCTCAGGCATAAAGATTTATCAGGCTTTGATAACTTTATATATGGGTAGGGTGAATGCTTTTAACATGGCAGTGGAGAATCATAGCCTATATTGAGACCTCACCCAAGGGAATAAGTGACTGATCCTGCCTTATCACTGTCCTAAAGCAGAGAACACAGTAAAATGCAGCTGTCTTAGCTTCATGTTAAAATGGAAGCTAAGGCAACTGCCAACCGCCTAACTCTCACAAAGCTTTCAAACTAAAAAAACCAAAGTCCTGTGCTGTTGAGACTTGATGTAGCAACTCTATTACATTAATATGGAGCTGGTTTGACTCTTGCTCTGTGAAAGTGGTAGCTTTCACTGAGTGTAGCTACAACAGCAAGGCATCTTTGCTTTGTCCAGCTGAAACACTTTGCTGTCCACTGTTGGTTGTTCTGCTCTGTCATTTTTGAATAGGACAGCCCAACCTCCAGGACAAGGCAGTAGAGAGGAAGAAAAAGAAACATCTGTTGCTCAAAGCCTTGCAAGGTTTTTCTTCTCCAACCTGTATTGCATCTGCTGGATCTCCTTGACAACAGTCTGCTGCTTCATCTGTTTATAATAACCCTAACAAGCTTCAGTACAAGCATCTATGGGCTGCCCTATAGACTGTTCTCTTCCAAATCACTGGTGATGGTTGTGGGGCTTTTTGAAAAAAAAAAAAACACAGTTAAGCCAAGCCAAATTTTGACTTAAGTCCTGTGTCTCAACTAATTTCCAGCGACTCAATTCGTTAGCTGCCAAATGGGCTGCATGCCAATACCTGATCAACAAGCCAATTTCTTCTTGATGGAAAGGTTGCAGTGGAGAGGCCCTCTGCTCCATCAAATCCCTCTCTTAAGCAGTATGATACCCAAGCCTTCAAAATACTAGTCTTTCTAGTTTAATTTGGATATCAAATCCTATTTTTTTTGCCACTTCTGTTCATCAGGCCTCTGAAGAAAAGAGGAACCCAAATTCACACAGGATGAACTGTCTGGAACCATTTGTGATGGTAGGGTGCACAGGGTCTCTGACAGCTTACCAATAGGCTCTTCTGTTTGAATTCTCTGATCTAGAGGAATCAAAAGAAGAAAAATGCAAGTGTTTGGCTGTCTGTTTTATTTTACTGTAGGACTGTGTCTGTTCTAGTAGATAATGCACAACGATCTTACTAATCTGTGCCTCTATTCCAACCTACCAGTTCTAACAATAAAAAGTAAAATAGACCTACTCAAACTCAAGTTCCTTTCCTCTTTGCAAGGAATATGGTAGAAGCATCCCTGGGGCAGCTAGTTGGCCCCCTTTGAGCAAGTGCATTTTGTTCTGGTATTTAGGAACTACCCTGAAATAATAAAGCCAGGTTATGTCCTAGCACAGAGGAACAATCCCAGCCTCAGAGAACAAAACCCCCACATCTGCATCTTGTCAAGAAACACGTTTTCTGTCAGGTTTGTAAAAGCTTATGACTATAAACATGTGTGATGACAAACTGTTGGACAGAAGCTGCAAGAGAAGAGCTTTTATTTTAGTGCCCCAAAATGGAGGTTCAAAAGTGCAGCAAAAGTAAAAACTTACAGGGGACTGAAAAAAATTACTTTTTGGAACTCTAGAAAAATAATTCCTTTAGTCTGAATCATCACTAATCCCCTTTACTGTCTGCTTTTCTCCTTTTGTTTTATTCAAATTTACCTCCTGCTATTTTTGTTTGATTTAGCAGTGTTGCGTCCAGGTGCATACTGAAGATGATCATTTATGCATCCAGCAAGCAAAATCCATTATGCTGAGTTTTTCAGTAGTTCAGTAGTTGCCAGGATTATGCATGCCCTCTGGTTCAAAAACTGATGCTGCAGGGAAGTGTAGCCTTGCCTGTTAACAGGGTGGGAACATCCTGCGCTCTGCACACCCAGAGCATATGATTTTTCTGTCTTTCCTGAGTTGGATTGAGTCTCACAGGGCAGCTGTACCCCCTTCACTTGGAATCCATCATTGCGTCAGTACCTCTTAGGCCACCACATCTGTCTTTGGATGAAAGGTTTGTTAGTAGAGCTAGATAACTCATTCTGATCAGCAGTCTCTAAAAGTTGAAAGGCAAAGAGGTGCCCTGCCTTTTAAATTGTGCTAAATTGGTCAAGTGGGAGTCTGAGGTTTTAATTTGCTTGTTTAGCACCTATTAAAACACACACTACTTTATTTACACTTGAGTATTTGAAGGTGTTAGCCAGAAAGCATTGGCAAATATGTTTAACTTTACACCTTTCAGTCTAGAACAAGACCTTACTTTGCAGCATGGAGCCTGAATAGGATGGAAGTGAGTTACACGTGTGTATACTGTGAGGAAGTAGGCAGTTTACTTGTATAAGTTGAGTTTGCTTTTGCACATACACACACCCACCTGCTTAGAGGCACCCAGATGCACAAACACCAAGCAGTGTGAGGATTATGGCTTTCAGCCTGTCAGCTAAACTCATACTTCTTCCCTTCTCTACAGACATTTACACACACACCTCCCTACGCTGAGAAAATCCTCACACTGAGAGTATCTGTTGGCCCCAAAACTGCTTTTTGCCATTTCTTTACCTCTCTCAGCATGATTTCTGGCATTTCCAGAGAATAGGGAACTAAGTGTTTAGAAAAAGGAAGATGAAAATCATAATTTGATTCCTTCTTCTGATTGCAGCTGAAATGGAAGGGAACTTGGCTTTGCTTGCTATTGAGTAATGTTCACTGTTTGCTCTCTGGGCTAGGAGAAGTATAGGAAAGTCCCAACATTGTTTTAAATTATGTCATTAATCAAGTTTTGTGACACACACCACTTCCCAGCGCATGCCTCCTTTTTGGAATGACCTCATCCTAACAGTCCTAGAAAAATTGCTCTGCCAGTGAATTTAGTGCTTCATCGGGACAATGTGACTTTTGTGCCTTTACCATTTTTTTTATGTGGTCATCAGAGTAGGCTTAAACATGGGAAGGTTGTAGTGCCTTGTTTGTCTTCTCCTAAGACTTTGTGTTCTATATAAAAGTATGTTTAAGGGATCCTTTGTTCTGTTTTTTCTTCAGACTGTTTCTATCAGTATTGCTCCTTATCTTCAGAAATGTATCCATCTTAAGTCTTCCCTCAGCCCTGGAACTGAAAAAAACAGGAAAAAAAGAGTTTTTTTTTTCCCTTCCCCTAAAAGAAGGAGAGAATAGCTAAGGAATAGAATAGAACTTTGAAGGTAAGGAGGAGAAGGAGAATTTAAACAATACCTCCATAAGTAAAAAGGAAGAGCAACTCCACTTTCTAGGCTCAGGGAATTGATCAGAATTCATTGGCATCATTTTATTTGGTAACAGGTTGAGTTTGTGCTTTTTTTGTTTCCAAACACATCCTTAGCAGCAACTCTTTTTGCCATGAATACTCTAGTTTCAGTCTTCTTTGTCATGCTAGCAGCTAAATGCATTACAGAAACTGAACTGAGTCCTAATCTTTTTATAATCAGTTTGAATAACAAACTGCTTTGTGTAACTTACCGAATTCCTGGTGCACAATGTTGATTCTGCTCTCTGGCCCAGAGAAAGAGAGGCTTTTGCTCCTGTGATTTGTTAGGGTAGACAAGATGATGCATCCAAAGAATGTGCAATCAGACCTGTGTGAAACTTGGCAGATTGTCTTAGGAGGGTTCAACTAAACCTTGTTTTCATTTTTGATGTGCATGTATTCCTGTGGGTGCTTGCCCTTACTCTGATATTCACTTTGAAACCCAATTTTAAACAAAACCGAAACCTCAGACCAAAACTTTGAAAGCACCAGGCTTTTCCATATTTTTAGTCAAATTACTGGCCCAAATAAGCTGGAAGTTGGCAAATCTATCAGCATAGTGAGTGTAACTTTCAGGTGAACCTTGAAAATTCCTGTGTAGTGTGAAGTGTAGACACCAAAAGATGATACATATGTCAAATCAATATTATCTAGAGAAGTATAAGTATGGCTCTGGTTTGTCTTGCTGGTACAGAGACATGATCAGAGACCAGTGAAATTCAGTCTTTTAGCATGGTGCTTCCACTACTAAGGAATTTTAGTAACAGCATCTCACTTATGGACAGAAAAAGAAAGATGGTACATTACGAAATATCTAACAAGGAGAAAGAGGGGCTGGGTAAAAGCACAACACAGACTTTTGGTATTTTTTATTTGTTACACAGGTGGCAGTTGTTAGCAACCTTTTCATTTACTTGAGGTGTCATTCTACATTATGCTGCTCAGAGGGTGATCATGGACATAACATTGCTAGTGTACATTCTTACAGACTGAAAATTCAAGTGTGATGCACGTGGGTTTGCATTCAGACATTCTAAAAAAGTGCACCTACCTGAACGACATGTTAGAGGAGGCAGGATGTAAACAAAGAAATCTAGAGAAATTATTTCAAGCCCTTTCCATATCTTTAAATCCCCGTTTTTAAGCTTGGGAATTTTAAATGCAAGTGAGAAAGAATCCATTCACCCTTGAAAACGCAGCTGATGTGGAGGTGAACCACAAGTAGTATTTGGTGATAACTGCAACAAAGAGCATAGTGACCAAAGGGGTAGTGTTGTATGGTGGCATAATATAATTACTCTGAAGGTGACATAATATAATTACTTTGAAACTATGTAATACATCGTTATCAGTCTATTTTCTCTTTTTTGTTTGTTTGTTTGTTTTGGGTTTTTTTCTTAAATATCTGGGAATTATTCTGTGAATTTCAGGCTAAAAGCTAGCTAAATTTTAAAGATGCAGGGCTGAATAATATGCTATCATTTGAATAAATTGCCTCAGCTTTCCTTTTTTTTCCTACCTGTTTTTTTGTTTGTTTGTTTGTGGTTTTTTTGGTTGATTTTTTTTTTTTTCTTCTCAGGTTTGTGACCAGGTTTATTGAGCTGGATGGCCTGAGCTGTTTGCTGAACTTCCTGAAGAGCATGGACTATGAGACCTCAGAGAGCCGTATACACACATCCGTTATAGGGTGTATCAAGGCACTGATGAACAACTCCCAAGGACGGGCTCATGTTCTGGCCCATCCAGAAAGCATCAACATCATCTCCCAGAGCTTACGGACTGAGAACATTAAGACCAAGATTGCTGTGCTGGAGATCCTAGGGGCTGTCTGCTTGGTGCCGGATGGTCACAAAAAGGTCTTGCAAGCCATGCTTCACTACCAAGTCTATGCTGCAGAAAGGACAAGATTCCAGGTAAAAGGAGGATACCTTGACACAATTACCCAGTATGATGAATATCTGCAGGGAGTGATTTTTACTGCGAAGTTGCTGAGTAGTAAAAAGGCAATATTTCTCACTTTGTTTTAGGAGGAGAACTTCCTCAAATAGATTATCAGCATGTATATATATATTTCAAGACCTGTTGCTTGTCATTATTGCTAACTTAAAATCTCCTATATTTTACCTGAAAATAGGAGTTTGCTGTGTTAAGTGAAAGCTGCTAATCTACTCATACTCTAACTTGGTGGCATTTCTGGGGTGGTAATGATTTGTTCTGCCCTAGAAGCTGAAGCTGCAGAATTTCAGGAGCCTCTGTCCTGATTTTAAATCCTTAATTTAGTACTAAAAGAGTTATGGATTAAGTAATGGAGACACTGACTAAAGTAATGTATAGTGGAGGCAGTTCACTTGCCACTTAGCAATCAACTTGTGAATTGTTGTGACTTAGCAATTGTTGTCTCAAATAACTCCTATTCAGATCATAGAAGGGAAACTCAGTCTCAGAGACTTTGAAGTAGATCAGTAGATCACTGACAAATTTTACTGTGGATACTACTGACTGCTATTATAATTTCCCTCTATCTAGTGAACTGATCACCTTTAGAAAAAGATGGTACAGAATCTGTTGCTCTGTGTGAAGCTGTGGCTTCTAAACTTTGGGAAAACCTCACCCATTTATTAGTCTTTCTTAGGTGAAATGATTAGAGTGGTGTTGAGCCAACAGGCCCCGGATCCTGATGCCTGACAGTCATTATCTCCTACCTCCTCCTCAGCTAATGCATCAGTGGATTTTAGGCTACAATGAGCTTCTTAGTGTAAAAGAGAATGGGGAAACAGTCTGTGCTGGTGGACAGCAGCTGCTAATGTTTGTGTTAGAACTAAAGGGACTGTGGGACTCACTGACTGTGACTCAGATCTGAGACAGGGATGCAGGAGATCTTGGTTTGTTGTTAACCTTTATTTGGCACTGGCAGATCCATACCTCAGGTGCTGCCCCATTTGCATTTCTTGTCTATTCAAACTTGATGCATGTCTTCAGTACTCAGGTATGACATGTATGATGTATGACTCCAGAAGTGGGGGCCTTTCGGTCTCAGTGGAAAGCTCTTGAGGCTATTTCAATGGGGAAAATAGTAATTACAGTAAAACTTGGAAGATTATGAGATTTGCAGCTACAGTCATAAGGATATGTCATCATTCTTTAGTAGAGGATCAGGATGCATATGCAGAAAAGTAAGCCATGTACATGAGTTATGATGTGCAATTTATTGTGGACTGCCTATGGAAGAGAGAAGGAAAAGCTTTAAAACCAGCTTGTTCTCTAGTAATTCGCTGAAGCAAAGAATCCTTCCTGAATTAATGTGACATTGTTGTCATAGACCTGGGAGACGTGGGGATAACTTCAGATGCTTGCCAAAAACCAGTGGTAACTCAGAGCCCTGAAAGCACTAGCAGTCCTGGGTTAACCTGCCCTTACTTGACCAATTGACTCTGCTTAATAAGCACGTATGGGAGATAGATGCTGAGTCTACTCAGTGTCTCTTATTTAGGTGTTTTCTGTCTTTCTTTTTTTTTTATACTGGTTTAAAAGTCATCAAATAACTGAGATATAAGTCATTGCTGGGTGAAGTGTGGTAGCACAGGTCTTGTACAGCTGAGCTTTTGAGGAATCTGGTTGAATGATTTGCAGGTGGTTACCAACTCTTACATTCATAAAAAGTACTTTGCATAAACACTCACTCTTGTCAAAATACTTTTCCATTTGGGGAAAAAAAAAGAAAAATAAAGGGATATTCTTATTTCTTTCTTAAACAAACAAACAGACAAACAAAAGCCCCACCTAAACCTCAAAATGATTTGGCAGAAGGGATGAGTTCTTCTTTGCATTTTCTAATACTTTTGTTTAGAGAGAGACTAGTGTAGCATAGAGATCATGTATTTAACATGGTAACATAAAACATGACATGTTTTGTTGAATACAAGAGTGACACGGTTGTATGTGTCAAGGGAAAAGAGCGATCCAGCTCCAGGGTTCGTTACTCTCTAGTGAGATGGAAAATGGTTATCAGCTAGTCAAAGTGCACACGCTCACACGCTCACACAACTCAAAAGAGAGGCAAGAGGTGATGCTCTGGAGGGTAACCAAGCTGAATCAACTTTATTGAGAAGATGGAGGGTTTTTATAGGGCTTAATAGGGGAGGTTCTGGAATAAGGGTGGAGACTAGGAGGAGCATGCAAATCCTCACACATACATTGGGTAAAAGGGAATGAATAAACATGAAGGGGATGAACTGGGCGGTAACAAGGGAGTGGCCAAAGGCAAAAGCCCGCCAAACAGGATGATTGGTTGGTACCTCATGGTATCTCAACCAATGGGGTTAATGTTGCTGCCTGAAGGCAGAAAAGTCCTTGAAGAAGGTACTGAAAATGGAGGACAAACCTACATGTAGATTTGCCTCACAAACATTATAGTATGGTGTAAAAGTCTCAAGTGGAGATTTCCATCACCCGAACACTCTCTAGGCTTGTCCCTCCAATGCATCTGGCTTTCCACTCCTGGTAAGATGTTTCTATAGGCGATTCATCAGGTGCCATCCAATCCCCAACACAAGAGATTCTTGCTGGTCAGCTTTCTAAGCACAACTAGCCAAAAATTGTCAGAGGACTTAGCAACGGGTAAATTAGTGGAGAAGGAAAGCTGTGACTTAAGATACGGTTCTAACTAAACTTACATTGGCTCTGTCCTGCAATAACTACGATTATTTGAATGAGAAACATACAGTTTTATACTAGTATATCTAAAGCCAACATTCAAGTTACAGTGAGATCCCTAAGCATTATAACTTGCAATCCAATTAATTTAACCAAATTGCATCAAATTTAATCAAATTACTTCACAAAGTGAAGACCACGAATCAAACTAGAATAGTTTGGAAAGGATGTCTTTGCTTCTTGATGAGTTTGTTTTTTTTTTTTTAGTTGAAGCTCATGGAAAATATAGATAGAATTTCTGTGAATATGAAGTAGTATTTCCTTAACAGTCTTTACTCAAATGCCTTTTAATACTGTAACTTCACCTTGAGTTTTCGATGTTCAGTGTGTTTATAGGTCTATCAGGATCATCTTTGTCTTGACACTTGCAACAAGATTCTACGCTTTACGTTTGTGTCTCAGTTTACATAGTCATTATTCCTATTGTCTCACATTTGCTGCATCTTCTTGCCTGAGCTTATCCCTTTGATTGCTTTCAACATTGAGCCTTCTTTTGTAATGTCCTTCTACCTGGAATAATTCTCCCTTTAATGTCCAACACGCAGTCTGCAGTTCCTCTTAAGATATTCTTTGAAAATTATCCTCTTCAGAGTAGCATTCTATCTTTACTCAAATACCACATGCCTTCAAACTCCTTCCTGAAGCAATCTGGAAAAGCTCTGTCTTCATCCAGTTGTTTGAAATAGACTTCTTTGCTTAAAAATCCCACTCTGCCCCTTAAAGAAGAGAGATGAAAGAAAACAGACAATAAACCCTCAAAGCAGAAATGTGGAATTAGGAAGATGAGTCTTTGGTGTCCTTGATGGGATTTTTTTCCATGTAATGTACGTATCGGTACTAGTGTAATTCTGTCACTGGCTCATTGTGTGACCATGAAGACATTACTTTTGCTTGAATTTTTGGGTGTTTTTCTTGTGAAGATGCAGGTTTATAAAATGCTATGAAAACTGAGAAAGAAGAGTCTCTGGTTTCAAAGTCTTTCATGTCTCATTATCCTGTTTATGACTGGTTTCCCTTGTAAAAGGGGCACAGTCTTACTCTTCCCTAAGCCATTGCATTTCTGATCATTATTAGGCTCACTGCTTCCCCTAATTTTTCCTGTGGAGTCAATGCTTTGTGTTATGACATTGTAATATGTAATACCTTTTAACATGCTATATTTTGAGTCAAACTAACAAGTCATAATGCTCTATTGACCCAGAACAATTTATCAGGATGTTCCAGTGCTCTTCCAGCCTAGCTTGCTGTTAAAATACTCATCCTGTTGTGGGTCCCTATGGAGAGAAAGAATTTTCCTTTTAGTCCTGAGAGAACCTAGGTGTTAGATACTACCTGAAAGGAGCTGATTTCACTTTCAGGTGGAAATGTTAACTGGGCTGCTTTGGGCAGAACACTCTTGTTTCTCTCTTTAATGCTGCTTGTAATTTTGAAGCTTGAGGCAAAGGAAAAAAGGAAGCTTGATATTGTCAGTTGAAAAGGTGGAGATTAGGAGCATGCCTTCCAGAGCCCCCTTGCCTGGTTTGTGTTAAACACTGTCAGTACAGACCATAATTTCTAGGGAGAAATCTGATCAATTTGGCATCGTAGTAGAGGAGCTAAAAAGGAACAAATTAAAATCCAGTATTCCCCCTTAATTTGCTTCTTCCCTTTAGGGCTCAACCAAAGCCTTTTGAGGTTTCCTGCAGACTGAATGAAACCCTACTGGATGTCAGTGATGAAGAATAATGGGATTAAGTGAGGAAAGTTTTGCTAAAATAGTAGGAAAAACCTTTATAACCATAAGATCAATTGGGCCACAGAACTGGCTGCCAAGAGGTGTGGTGAAATCTTTTTTACAGGAAATTTGCAAGTGAAGACTTGAACCTCAGCCATTTGCAAAGGACTGGAGATTTTGGAGTTTGGCCATGGTATGCGGGTGTAGGCTCTGATGTTTAGGAATTGTGTGAACTTACAGTGTTTCCTTCTCAAGCTGAACAATTGCACGAAGATGTGCTACTTTTCAATTAGCTTCGTGCAACACAGGGTTTTGTTTGCCCTTGCCCTGAATTTGGCTTGGCCCTCACTGCATTCTGCTCCTAGTTCAGCATTCTAAAATGCAGGATAGAAAACTTTTGTGAACATCCTTCAACCTGTCTGGCTGCTGTATCTGATATGCTATTGCATAGGTTCTAGCATATTCCTAAAAGTCGATGAGAAAACATGATAGGAATAAAGCCTCTGAAGAAAACCAGTGAAACCATCCCTGGTTTTGATGCTTCTGTAGTGATGACAGCTTAAATTGTTCCAAGAAGACACATGTGCATCAGATTTCAGTTTCAAATCTGACAGTAACAGAACTAAATTATCTCATTTATTTCACCTCTGCTTATTTGCCAAGTTGGATAGTTGGTTTTGGTGAATTTAAAGACTTTTTAATAGTCTACTATTGTCACTGTTAAAGATAGGGTGCTGGATTGAACAGACTGCCAGTCTGCCTCAGTAGGTCATGTCATGTATTTTTATATAAGACTCATTCCCATTTCTAACAAAATATTATTTGGTCATAGCACAGCTGTTGGGAAGTTGGATGTGACCAAAGTTCAAATGCCAGGATTAGGGATATTTGCAAATTCCAGCTGGGAAATTCAGAAGTAGTGAGAAAAAGGAGTTTATGAAATCAAGCTTTTTTGATAGTGAGCATACTATGCTCAGATGTAAAAACAGCTTTCAGTAGCAGTGTATGATAAGTCAAGATATTTTTACACAAAGCCAAGTGCGAAGCCAGGAGGTTGTTCTTTCCCCTGAAGAGTGCACAGGATATTCCTCTTGTTTCTTGAGATATATCTCCGACAAGATAGATCTATGAAACTGATGACTAGCAGAGGAAAGATTTTGCTATGAATTAACACTATCAGTAGCCAGTGACAAAAGATTGACTGAAGGAAAATGAACTTCCTTACACAGCATCATAGCTTCAAACTATTATTTAGGTGGTCTGCTGAACCGAACACTAAAAAGTTGTTTTTGTCTTCATTATCCCTTTATGGTCAAAACTTCTTGGGAAGAGTAAAAAGAAGTCTCTCTTTTTTTAGTGCAACAGCAAAGCAAATATATGAGAGTGAGGCATTTATTATTAATGCTGGAGTGAGTCTCATACAGTTGAACTGCCAGATCTCAAGTGGAATTTGTTACTCTTCCAGTAAGGAAAATCATCCTTGGAATTATGCACTGATCAAAGAAGATCCTGGAGAGAAGATTAATGGTGATCAGCAGAAAGCTAAAAGTAGAGTTGCTTTCATGGCTAATCAGTTTCTGCATATAGCCTCTTTTGGTAAATATTCAAGTGGAATTAATCCTAAATAAGACAAAGGCTACTGATGCTATTTGTCTAGTCTTTTTCTCTTTTGCCTCCTGATTTTCACAAGATTATAGTGAAATATCTATATGTATGTAGAAATTAAACGCCAAAAGCATTCCTGTGCTACATTCCCCCTAAATGCTAAATACCCATCTTATTAAGACAACTTACAGTAGCCTTTCAATATATAAAGGGAGCTTATAAGAAAGACAGAGAAAGACTTTTTACCAGGGCCTGTAGTGATGAGAACGGCTAATGGGTTTAAACTATTAGAGGTTACATTTAGATTTGATAAAAGGAAGAGGGTTTTTTATGATGAGGGCGGTGAAACACTGGAACATGTTGCCCCGAGAGGTGATAGATGTCTCATTCCTGGAAGAATTCAAGGCCAGGCTGGATGGGGCTTTGAGCAACCTGGTCTAGTGGAAAGATGACCCTGCCCATGGCAGGAGGATTGGACAACATGGACTTTAAAGGTTGTTTTCAACCAAAACCATTCTGTAAGTCTGTAACAAGGAAACTGGAGCTTAACTGTGTTTCCAGTGGGGATGTGTAACTCACCTTTGAGCTTTGGAGCTGTGTGCACTGAGGGTATTCCTGTTATTTGGAAATCCCCAAAAGGAGCTTACCAAAAGGTAATAATTGTCTGTTTCATGTTAAATGGTTGTCATTGAAGAACAAGGAGAAATCTTTCAAGGTTTGGGTATAGGTTATATTTCTCAAAAGACAGCTTCCTTTTAAAGTTATCTTCCCCTGTATACATAAGTACAATCTATCCTGCTGAGATCCAAGAAAATAATGAAAATTACTTGAGTGATGTGAGTAAAAACAATGTGTGAATCTGTTACTGTTTTTCTGTGTGTATAAACTCCCTGTCATATAGTGGCCTTCCTGTACCTCAAGGGAGCCTACAGGGAAGATGGAGAGGGACTTTACAAGATCATGTATTGACATGACAAGGGAGAATGGATTTAAACTGGTTTAGATTAGATATTAGGAAAAAAAATCTGTGCTGAGAGAGTGGTAAGGCACCAGAGGTGGTTGCCCAGAGAAGTTTTGGATGCCCCATTCCTGGAAGTCTTAATAGGCAAGTTGGATGGGGCTCTGAGCAACCTGGTCTAGTTGAAGATTCCCTGCTCATGGCAGGGGGGTTTAACTAGATGATCTTTAAGGTTCTTTCCAACCTAAAACATTCTATGATTCTATAAATCTGTGATATTCACCATACAGAGTTAACGGATGAGGAAGGTCATCATTCTGCTGCTTTCTTAGATCATGTTGGCAAGAACTGTAAAGGGCATCTGTTTTTTCTCAAATAATAGGTTGTTTTAAGAAAAAAACCCAACTTTTCCTTTATTTGGGTCAGGTGAGCATTTTATTCCAATCGCTATTCTTCATTTGTTTATTTTGAATGCCCAGAATTTCTAACAACATTGTCTGAAAAAATAAATATTTCTTTAAGCAAACACATAGCAAATTGAAAGACGACTAAGTGCGTATCCTTTCAACAGTATGCACAGCGGTGCAAGAAATTAGATTATGTCCTCTAACTCGTCTTGCTTTTCTGTTTCAGTCATTGTTAAATGAGCTAGACCGAAGCATGGGGCGATACCGTGATGAAGTAAACCTCAAAACAGCCATCATGTCCTTCATCAATGCTGTTCTGAATGCAGGTGCTGGTGAGGTGAGTCACTGTCCTGGATATTCCTTCTAAAATGTTATGCTTGAATTAATTAACCTTGGGAATGGTTAGTAGATTAAGTCACAAGTCTTGTCATAGTGAGTGGATATAGTTTGTGGAAAATAATGCTGAATTGTGAAGATCGGTCTTACAATGTCTTCCATATTATTTCATTCCCAGCTTCTTCAATATAATGTAGACTGCTACATAGACTGCTTACACTGAAGTGATTACTTTGGGTTGTTTCTTTTTTTTGCTACTTTTTTTTGTTGTTTTGTTTGTTTGTTTTTGTTTTGGTTTTTTTTGGTCTTTTTTTAAGAAGTGCAAAACATTTACTTCCTTATTTCAGCCTTTTAGAAAACATTTTGGTCTACCTTCATAAATGTTTTGAAATGTTAAGTTGTTTTGACTCAAAGACAAACTCAAACCATTTTAATTCAAAAATATCAAATGGAGACATTTCCAAAAAAAAAAAACCAATTGTTTTTCTTTCATTAGCAAGACTTCCTTTTGAGTCTGGAGGATAGTTAAAACTGATTTATTTCATTAAAAGTGTTACTTTTGTTACATTGGGTTTTGTTTTGTGTATTTTTGTTTTTTTTATTAAACCACAACAGACAACAAGCTCATGAGAGCTGTCTGACAGTGTATTTGTCTTTATCTCTGGCAGTCCTGTAACATCCCACTGAATAGATGTCAGAAAGTTTGTCAGGGTATACAGTGGTTTTATGACAGGTAAACATAAAAACTAGGAGGAAGACTGCAGTAATGGTCATCTGTAAGTGGGAGATGAACCTCTAATGGACTATCAGGAAAAACATTAATAACTTCTGTTTTTTATGGAGCAACATGGAGTGTGCTGCCTTTACGGCTGCATATACAGAACTCATAGTAGGTAAATGAGGGCTGTAGTTTAAGTGAAACAGAGGCAAAAGCATTGATTTCTCTTTTACCTAATTTACTGGAATTAATCATCCTGTGAATTTGGTGTCAGGATAGAGGATACTAAAAATGGAGGAACTGAGGTTTTAAATAAAATTTTAAAAATGTGACTGACAGCTTTTGAAACCAAATAACTTGGTTTTCCCCCACATTTTAAGGACAATTTGGAGTTCCGACTACACCTACGATATGAGTTTCTAATGCTGGGAATTCAACCTGTCATTGACAAGCTAAGAGGACACGAGAATGCCACACTGGACAGGTAAAATATATTTTCTGAATACAGCTATTGATGAACCGAAGGAGTTCTTGGAAACTCTTCTTTATTTGAGACAACTGTCTCTGTGCCTTCCTGAAACTGACTCCCTTTAAAAAAAATAAATTAGATTTATCCTTATAATTATCAATTATGAAGTTGAGAACATACATGCTAAGTTAGCTGAGGCTGTGGCAAGGAGTTTCTCTACTGCTTTTCTTCTGGGGATGTCAGTCAAAATGGAAAATATAAAAAAATGTTCTAACTCTTTTCTCTTGTAGCAAAACTGGAACAAAAGCCTGTCCTGGTAGGAGTGAGGGAAGCCAGTAGTTCATTGACTTCATTGAGACTGAGTATGTGTGGTCTAAGTGTAGGTTCTGAGTTTCCAAGGTTTTTTTCCAGTCTTTTTTTGTTATCTATCCTGTATCACAACCTCCCAAAAAGTGGCACGGGCACAACTATGAGAAGAGGCACCTGTGATGGGGTAGAGATGCTTATGGGGCATGAGAGAAGAATGAGAAGTATTTTCAAACAGCCCTGCTACTGCACAAAATGTAACACTGAATGGCACCTTCAAATTATTGCGTTAAAAGTTATACAGGTAATAAATGCTTTCTCCACAAGCAATTCGTTATTTTTGCCACAGTAGTTGAAGCTGATAGTGACCTTAAAATAACCTTTGCAATGCCCCATGCTGAAAAAGACTTGAAGTAAATGATCAGAACAATTTGACCAGGACACTTCAAGAAGCTAAAAGACTGATGAACCAATGAGGAGACTCGTAAAATCCATTTGCCTAACACAGTGAAGCATTTTAAAGTGTGAAAGTAGGCAGCTGTGAGAGTCTCTTCTCCTGTTACCACATTAAGCTTGGCACTTGTGCAGAGGCACTGACCTGCTGATATGCTGCTATCCCTTAGCATCCCCTTCCTACAGAGCAGTGCTGGTTTGTAGGTATCTGATATCTGAGATTTCCTAGATAGAAGTGTCAAGTTTGCCAAAGCACGTGGTGAAAAACCTATGGATCAGGCCTATGCCTGCAGCTTACAAGGCACCATTTTCTCAGACATCCAGTCAGAAGCTGCTGTAGGGTGATAGAGCTATCCCTGGGGGCGTATGTAATGTGCCTGAGACTCTGCATAAACACAGTTATCACCAGCTGCTGTCATACACACACTGGCCTCACACCTTTGAGCGGGTGGAGGTGTATGCATGGGTATTAATGTCACTGGGAAAGAGTGCATACAGTCATATGTCTAGAGTTTGCTGCAGAGCTGGACCCAGGAATGTTACTTTTGGTCTAAAACTTTATAAGCAAGAAGAGAATCTGTCCCATAGATCATCTGTGTTCCTTTGGGCAGTTAACCAGGAGTGTTTAGGAAGGGCTTGGGGGCACTTTTAAATCTAAAAGTTAGCCATGAGAATGATAGCAAAAGTTTGGGAAGATCTCAGATGCCTGGATTACCTAGACTATTTAACAGATCTGTACAGGGGAATGTGCCACAGCCTTTCTCCACATCATATAGGACATTTAGGACATCATTTAGAATGAGAGGACATGGTCTTAAGCTGTGCAAGGGGAGGTTTAGGTTGAATATTAGGAAGACATTTTTTACAGAGAGAGTAATCAGGCATTGAAATGGACTGTCCAGGGAAGTGGTGGATTTACCATTCCTGGAGGTTTTCAAGATGAGACTGGATGTGGCACTGAGTGCCATGATTTAGTAACCACTGTGATGTTGGATCAAGGGCTGGACTTGATGATCTCGGAAGTCTTTTCCAACCCGGTTGATTCTATGATTCTGTGATCTACTGTGCACTGCTCTCTGTGTAAGAGAAGTCCAGATGGTCAAATCTGTCACTCACCAGGCCCCCCAGATCCAACCACAGGCATGCTGCTGTACTTATCAATAGGCATATATAGAGACAGTTATGAGCTCTACTGGTCCACTGAATGCATCTCTGCTTCACTGTTTCAAAGAAACAACTTGTTAACAGTCTAACATCCGTTTAACAAGTATGGTGTGGACTTTTTATGTATTTTCACTGCAGGCATTGCATTTATCACAAATAGAATATCCCTTTCCTATCTTATGTTCTTTTTTAGCACCTTACCTCAATACAGTGAGTTAGCATGGGAGTTACAGAGCACATATACCTGTGCCAGCTGTTTCTTTCGGCCTGTCACTGATCCCCCTGCCTTACCTATGAAAGCACTTCATGTACGAAAGGCTTGCCAATGTCCAAGTGTTCTGGCTGAAAATGAGGTCTTGCTGCTTCAGTGGTGATGCAGTTTAAGACTGAATTATGCAATTAACATTGGCAAATTTTGTTTAGTTTTTCTGTTTTCTCTTAGACATTTAGATTTCTTTGAGATGGTCAGAAATGAAGACGACCTGGAACTTGCCAAGCGGTTTGACCTGGTAAGCTTTTCTTTGGAGTACCTGAAATCGACAAAGCTGAGCTTACATCCAGTTTGGATGTTTGATGCAACTTCCCTTTGTGCTCCCTGAAAATAATGTTTTACTTTGTTGCTGAGAGTGGCTGATGCTGTTGTTTTCACTCTGAGTTAGCAAGGAGGAGGTTTTTGATGTGTGAACAATGAAAACAGTGATCACACACAGGACTTCTGCCAAGTAACTTTGATAAAAACTTCTTTCTTCTATTTGGCTGAAGGTTCTCAAGCCTGCACTCAGATTCTCAGTCCTGATGATCCAGCTGCATTCTAGTTTCAGACATCCCCTTTACAGGGGTATGGGTGAAGGTTGGGATCTTTTCCCAAGATTACAGGAAGCTCTACTTAAGACTGTCACCTAAGGGCCTGTGGAGAGGTGTGGTATTTTATAATGGGCAGATTTAAAGATGAGCATAAAACAAGGACAATTTCCACAACCTCTAGCATCAGTAAGAAGTTGTAGGGTCCAGGATAGTTATAGTCTCCTCTTTGTTCATGAACAGCTCTTGCTGCACACTGATAGAGAAAAACTATCCCTTTCTTGATTAGCTTCTGCTGTTTGTACCAGCACTTTTAGGACCCAAATGTTTCGCTTGCTCCAGAGCAGCTCTTGGTGGCTTTGCATGCCTCCTACCTTTCTAGCCCTTTACTTTGGGGACATTTTCCATATCGGAGTAGGGGTGACAATGGTGGTCTCCAAGACCCATGTGTACGCTCCTCACTGGAACCTGCAGCTGGACATGGCAGGAGACTTTGCATGTCTTTGTGTTGATTGGATCTTTCACAGTGTGATGGTTTGGATTTGGCTCCCTGCCAAATGCCCAACCCCCCAGTAGCAGCCCCTCTCTTCCCCCCTTTCTACTTCCCCCAGGGTATAGGAAAAAAACTATGCAAACTGAAGAACCTGAAAACCAAGTTAGTTATATAAAAAATATATATTTTATGTATATTACAGTTAAGATGCTATGTACCCAGCAAAAGGGAATCCAAACACCCCCGAAGGGATAGGGAAAGGGGAAAAAAGGGATAAAAGGAAATAAAAAGGGACACCGAATAGATATGCGCAATCAAACCCGAGAACTAGTAAAATAACTAGTAAAATAAATCTCACCATGTCCCTTAGAAAGTAGGCTTGGCAGACATGGCCAGTACTTTCCAAGCTTCCACGTGGCAGGTCAGTGGATGCTGCAGGCCTCAGCCTTAGATAAGCGAGACCAACGCAGGGACCCACTGTTCCCGAACTCCGGCGGAAGAGAAGAAGAACGAAGGCTGCTTCTCCCCTCTTATTTATACCACGATTTATGTAAAAATCGTATGGAATACTGGGAACACTGCCCCTTCCTTGGTTACAAACTGGTAACCAGGGAAGGCCTAGATTAAAACCACCACACCCAGTTAATCAGGCTTTCACTGTGGAAGGTTTTTCTCTCTTCTCACTTCAGATCCACATTGATACAAAAAGTGCCTCTCAGATGTTTGAGTTGATCAAGAAGAGATTGAAGCACACAGACGCCTATCCCTATTTGTTATCCATCCTCCAGCACTGTTTGCAGATGCCATGTGAGTACATTTACAGATTTCCAGAGCCAGGGGTATTGGAGAACTAGGTGAAGCTTTGGTGTAGGTACAAGTTCCCAGATAGCAGGGCACACACTGCCCTTGTCTTCTGTTCAAAACTTGGCTGTGGCTGATGAAATTGGTATCTTACACTGACTGCATCCAGCAGATTTTTGTCGCAATATTTAAGGCAGCAGCTTGACCCCTCTGCACTTGCAAATAAAATTAAGTAGCTGAGACATTCCAGTTAGTCACTGACAGAGCTTTCAATGATTTTAAATTAGAAGTTTTAAAAAAGAGTCCTTGTGCTCTAGATCAGGGAATTCCCAGAAATAGATAGCATTTCGAATACTAAAAAAAAAAAATGCACTGAGGAATTTTTCTGATGAACAATATGGTACTGAAAGCTGTTCTGTCACTGGGAAATTCCACAGTAAGTCTTCAGGCTGCTGTCTCATGGCAATTCATCAGTGGAGAGCTCCTGAACTCAAAGTGAAAAATAATATTGGCAGTTTTTTTTCAAAAGAAGTGATAGGAATCTTCTTGTTAAACTGTGATAAAATATTTCAGTTATGCTTCCAGAGTGTAGCAGCTGAGGAAATGCATAGCAAGATCACTAAAGAACTGCCTGCCCTGATCCTGTTAGCTATCTGAGGTACTTTCACCCGTATTTGAGCAGTCAAACTGAGCAGAGAACATGAGGGAGATGTACTGTTGTGTGTTTTTCAGAATAATGGGGTATGTTCTCAAGCTCTCATTAAAGTACTGCCGTGAAAAAATTCAAACAATTCTTCATCTCAGTGGTCTCTTTGATAATTATTCCTTAAGACAGCACAAAAAATACATTTATGTATTGACTGGATTTTTTGGTGGCAAATTGGTGCAGTTTTAAAGAATCTAAAGATCTGGGTTATGTAACTTAGCAAGCTGAGGTAAACTCTGTATTGCTCTGGCTCTTCTATTTTCATATCCATGGAATCAGTCCCTTGAGTTCAATTTCTGTTCTTTATCTCTATGCTATTTGGTCATATTTGTATGAATTTTCTATGCCATTTGAGTTTCGCTGACCCGTAGATAACCAAGCATGCAGATAGAACATCTGATTGTTTTTGACAGTGCCTGATCATGATGTTACCTAGTTACCAAAAAAAACCCCAACCCAGCATCAAGCCCCAGAAAATACTGAGTAATGGCTATCACAAAGAAATCACTTTCCTAGAAATTTAAAGTGCAAGGTGGAGCTAATCTGTCAAAAGGGTTGTACAGCCTGAATGTGCAAATCAGGCACCAAGTCGCCCATGCCTGTCATGTGCTGTTACAATATGCCAGGTGCTTGTAAATTATCTGCTCGTGACAGTTCAGAGTTAGGCTTTTGTGTTCCGTTATTTATTACATACAGGATTGATATGGAAGGTGGAAAGGAAAGAATACCAGTTTGTTGGCAGTTCTGTGCACTTTGGCATGGAATTGGAAGTTCTCATGGATTGGTCTTTTTCCATACAGATAAGAGGAATGGAGGAAACTTCCAGCAGTGGCAGCTGTTGGACAGAATACTCCAACAAATTGTTCTTCAGGATGAACGAGGAGATGATCCAGATATAGCTCCATTGGAAAACTTCAATGTCAAAAATATCATTAAAATGTAAGCTGCATTATTGTTTATTTCTGTTATGCAGGTATATGATAAGTATGCAGATTCTTAATAAGCAGAATATCATACATGAGGAGTTTTTTATTTTAACTTACAGCTTCTCATTGCTCTCATTGGCCTTCCAAATAGTTTCCTTCTAGTGACATCTTAACTTGGCAGTATTTTCTAACAGAGTCCTTACCTTTGACTTCTAATTTCTATTAAATATTAAGCTGGTTAGAAGAGCAATAAAAAATACAATTCCATAATGAGGCTTCCTCATGTGCCTTTTTTCATTCCAAATGTTCTTGAAAGTTTTCCTTGATACTAAAAACAATAAAATAACATCATCATCTATATTTTGATCTCGTTCCTCACTAATGAACACAAAGTTTAGAAAAATTGCAAATACTGGAAAGCAGCCCCCACCTAGCACACAAAACCTCTTACCTTTTCATAAAATGTCTGCTTGCTCTCACCCACAGACTTGGCTGAGGGCACTACCATTATTTTTTCCCATAGGATACATCATTTGAGAAGTCTAGCTACATGAGCTGGCTCTCATCTCAACTTCCCTGTTCTCAGTCCTTTTTTAGCCAAACTTTTGGACTCTTCATTCCATCCAACTTCCTCTGCAGGTAATTCACGGCCCATTACCCTTCTGAATTATCCATTGAAAAGAGCACTTTATAGAACATAAGCCCTATATGAACCCAAATTCTCTGTACTAAAAATCTTACAAAAATACCTCTTGTTACAGGCAGGAGCGAAAATCAAAACTGTATTCTCATAATGGAAAAATACACTGGTGCTGATTTCTTTCTGCGCCTTTGGATATCAGACTTCATTGTAGATCTCATGCCCGATCTTCCCGTTCTACTTTCATAGCTACTCCTCATTCTGCATATCTAATCAATCCCCTGCATGCCCTGCATATTTTCTGTCAGTAATAGGAAATAGCTGTGCCAGTATGAAATATGAGAATTGCCTTGTTACTGATGTATTACCCAATAGATAAGCATCCTCCCTCCTTGGAAGAAAGTAAAAAATAGAGCCAGAGAAAGTAGAAAAAACAATGGCAATGTGTTCTCATATTAAGGCTGGGGTAATTTGTGACTCATAGCAGCTATGATTATTTTAGTGATGGCTTCTCTCTTTAAAAATAAGTAGACTTGCCACTTTCAGAGTATTACCTGGCGACAGGAATGTACTGGGATTTTTCCCCAGGCATTCTTTTATCCATTTTAATGACATGGAGTAACAAGCCATCACATTTATGTTAGCTGCTGGCTAAGGATCAAAATCTGGATCCAGACTGACCACTGGCATGATCCTGTGTAAACATGTACATTTGCCAGGTTGCCTTTTGCTGATACCCACACATAATGGCCACTTGCCTTTTGGCTTGGGTAGCTCAGAACAAGTTTAAATGATCTGATTTCATCTTGCAGGCTGGTGAACGAAAATGAAGTCAAGCAGTGGAGGGATCAGGCAGAGAAGTTCCGGAAAGGTGAGTGCATCCTCTGTGCTTGGGTAGGAAAAAGAGGAGGCAAGACTGATCCCAATTTATACACAGAGCAGTGAGCAGCAGAGCTGGGCACAACTTTTCTTTTTGCAGACAAATCCTGCTTTGTTCCCTCATGTACATTTTGTCTTTTGGTGATCAGTTTATGTGTTTCATAGGATGGAAGTTCTCCTAGTCCTCATGTGAATTGATTGTACAGTCTAACTGAAACGTGGACATTGCTGTCTTGATCACTGAAGGTCATTGTCAAGGCAGTCAGACTCTATTTTCTTTTTCCTGCTTTTGTTATACATCCCCATTTGAACTGACAGATTTGTCAGCTTTATTTCATCATAGCCAGCATCTCTTCAGGGACTGTTCATGAGCTTTGTTTCATCAGTCCCACTTGTGTGTTCCCCCTAGACCATGCCGAGCTGATGAGCAGGCTAGAGAAGAAGGAGCGGGAATGTGAAACAAAGACCCAGGAGAAAGATGAAATGATGAAGACACTGAACAAAATGAAGGACAAGCTGCAGAAGGAATCCTTGGAGCTGCGCCAAACCCGAGACCAGATGAATGACCTGGTGGCTCAGCTTAATGAGTTCTCGGTATGAGACTGGGAGTCTTCCCCACCCTTGTTTAAAGCCTGCTAACTAGTAAATGATGAACAAAAGCATATTGTGAGTGAAACACTTCCATGGTCACTATAGAGAATACTTAGCTTTTAGCTAAGACCAATATCCCTTGAGCTGGTGGTGTAGAATGGTTAATGCATGGGCTGCTCCATTCCTTCTCCTCAGCCACCTTCCTTGTAGGAGCTTCTGAGGTGCACGTGTCCTCCTCCAGCCATAATTTTTACTGCTGAGTGGGGTGGCCCTGGCTTTTATTTCAGTGGAATAGAGAGAAACGTCCCCAATATGAAAGTGTATTTAGTGAAGAAACAGGATTCCTATCATGCTGCAAGAGCATCTCTACTGCCCTGAAGCTCTATAGAAGTGACATTTGCAGTTGTTCCCTCCTGCTTGCTGCTCCTTCTATCCCAGCAGTATGCCTGAGCCACAACTCACCAGAACACAGCCCTGAGAAGTTAGACACTGCAGAAAGCAGATTCATTCCCTCCTCCCCTCTCCCACTTTGCATTAGTGGGGCCTAATGACAGGTATTCAGTATTTAAAACCCTTAGCTTTTAAACCCAGAAGTTCATAAGTTCATAAGACTGAACTTTCCTCTTTTTCATACATGAGGAGAAAATAATACATTTTGGCTTCTTTTACTAGCTTTCTGTTTTTCTGAGCCATTTATGGTTCCTTTTTTCAAGCTCTTCTCCACAGCTTCAAGAGCTTGAAACTTTCTCTTAAATGAAAGCTGAGATTCCTCCCTTTATTGCATGGCTTTGAGTGCAGGAGGCTTTAAAGAAAACATCAAATATTTTGAGTCTTGTAATAAAATCACATCAGCTGGCAACATGGAGTTATTGTGCCTTTTAAACTGCTTTCTTTTTCTCTCTCTTTTTTTTTTTTTTTTTTTTTTTTTTA